GCTTTAAATAATAACTGACACTACAAGTTACTCAGATTGTCATTAGATGAAGCAGAGTACAAAACTATGATTTATCTGTTAAAAGCTGTGTATTCTAACTGTTACATCATTGAATCATGACTATTTATTGGTATTAATATATTTGAAAATGATCTTCATGTGATCTGAACTCTCATAAAATAATCATTTATAGGCAATCTGTGAATATAAGCAATATAAATGTGTCTATACAATAAGTCTATATCATAAATAAAGAGTAACTAAGATAGTTCTGTAAAAAATATTAACAAGAGAATCACAGGAGACAAATGATAATTAATATAATACTATAATCTAATGAATGAAACTGTGGTTATTTTTAAAGTGATTAATGTTAGTAGAATCAAGCATTTTGACAAAACCCATCTGATATTAATCAATATATGCTCACTAGGGATTGGCTTTAAGAAGTATATCCTGGAGTTCTAGCGAGAAGCAGTGACCAGTGAAGTTCAACCAGGTCTGTTGTGAGATGGTAACTCACTGATGACAATGGTGGATGTGTCGTTCAATTTCGAGGATTAGTTGAAGTTAGACATTAACACCGTTGGATGCAGGCTCAGTAGTCTAGTGGTTAAGTGCTTGCGCGCGAAACCAGTAGGTCCTTGGTTCGAATCTCACAGGGGGCGAGGTCGGGGATGCACACTGCTGAGGCGTCCCACAATAGGATGAAATGGTCGTCCAGTGCTTCCAGGCTTTCCATGGTGGGCTAGCTTCAACTGACTCATGATCTTAACCATTGAAGAAAATAATATTTACTATTTATTCCACCCAGAATGAGATGACTTTCATATGTGCTTATTTTTAAACAAAAAAGTGATTTTTATTTATCGTGTTATAGATGGAATAATCAAACAATAAACTAGGCTTAATGTGTAAATCTGCTTTTATATGACGTTCTATTCCATTTATAAATACATAATAGATATTTCAATATCGATCTTGATTGTTTTGCGTCAGGAGAAACAGATTTCTCCAGTATGGTCCGTTGTGATCAGCCCGTAATGTTTATCTATTCGTTCACCTTGATGATGACTTTCTAAATAGCGATGGAGACATTCAATAGTAAATAATAACCAAGACCTTAACACTTACTGATCCTTGAGCTCCTTTCAACTTAGTAACCAATTAGAAGATGAGTGTAAAAAGCAGATCAATTCTCTATTGTACTTAATTCATACAATAATATGCGTAAAATGTCTGATCACATAGCAACACAATTAAGAAATCATGATATGTACATAACTCAATCATAAATGATACAAAACCAGAGTGATGCTGGAATAATTAATCAGTAATAAATCTGGGACGATAAAACATGTGACAATGTTTTGTAGGTCAAATGAAAGTTTAGAAATAGGCACAGATCAGCCTAAGCGTTTACTAATTATACAATAGTAATATTAATAATAATAACCCTACGTGTGATAGTCTCACAAGTAATACTGTCACATTATACAGACTGAATGAAATACGATATGATCTCTTTTTTCTTTCAAGACCTTCCTAACTATTGTAAATGAAATAAATGAAACTAGTATAGCCACTATATAGAGATTGATATAGTTTAATATGATAAACAAGACAAGATTGCAAATGAAGATCATATTATGCACTATAACAGTAAATCAGAGAAAAAACAGATCTAACCACTGAACAACAACATACAGTAGACAAAACACTTTTAATTTCTTATATCTGAAGTTAATGTGCATCGAATAATGACAGTTCGTCAGCGATCAATTGAGATGGCTGACACACATATTACATATGCCCAACCACCGACTGCCCCGACGAGCGACGTTTTATGATATAGGAGTAGGTTGGAAGAAAGCTAGAGGCGGCCACATAAAAACATGGCACAAATCCATGAAGTCAATGATAATTGAACTGAGCCATGTTGGTAGGTGTAGACTACTTAATTGGGATCCGTGAATGGATAGCAACCGATGGTTAGAGACATTGAGTGACATGGTTCAAAATTGTTTGCAATGGTGCAGATGCATTCACTCTTTGTGTTCTCCCAAATTCTAATCTTCTGAATTCTTCATGTCCCTTTCTTGTTTTTCTCTTTCCAAATATATTTCACTGTATTATACTCCTTGAATAATATTTTCAAACCCTGATCTTACTGCTTATACTTTTACTACCTCTACCGCTATGGGATTTGAATCGACAATTGTATCTGTGTGTTGATGTGATATGGCAACTTGAACTGATATATGTACGTACGATTTTCTATGTTGTTGCTGACTGACCAACTGAGTTAGAATGACACAGGTACTCAATACTACATAATTTCTATTAAGTTTTTGATTGAGATCATGAACCAATTGATGTTAGACCATCACAATTGAAAACCTGGAAGCACTGGACGGCCGTTTCGTCCTATTGTGGGACTCCTCAGCAGTGCGCATCCACGATGCCGCGAGCGGGATGATCTAACATCAATTGGTTCATGATCTCAATCAAAAACTTAATAATCTCCACAACTCCTATACTAGTAATTTCTATTAGCTGTTTATCGATGTTTCAATTATAAACATAAATAAAGATTGAAATTTGCTAACATATGAACACATTTTTAATCATGTTATTGATTTGAAATCGGTGAACATAAAGTATACGAACGACCTTGACCTGATTTTTAGCCGAACCGACAACAGTTTTCAACTATGAAACATTTTAGGATGAAATTATAATGCATGAACAGATTGAACATGAATGATAAACTTTTGTATGTGATCTATTATTACTGTTATTTTCATTACATTTGTTATCATAGAAGGAAGGCTTTGTGGTAAAAGTATAATTTAAGAACAAATCAATCATAATCGAGAATAAGACTTTTAGGTCTTTAAGCGAAATTCAAGCATCGTGTAAAAGGAGCAGTAGAAATACAGTAAAAGTATACTATATAGACGACCTTAGACGACTTATCAGTCAGTCAGGAATCACTACCTAATTATGAAACAACTATCAATACAAAGCAATGAAATAACAGTGGAATCATAACTTTGATCTGAATAATTAACCGTCACAAGACAAATCATCCGTTGTGATAAAAAATGGTGGCACGATCATACGTATATCTATATATTAGGAGACGTGCTAGTGTTGTGAGTTAAGTTTATAATCTCACAAAATTTTCATTACCAACTGATATTATTTGTGATGTCTAAAGGTTAGAGTTAGGTATCAAGAGTAAATCTGCATCAGTAGGCCTTAGTATACAAAAGGGAAGAAGTAAGATCATCAAATACGACACGGATAACACCAACTCAGTTACACTTAATGGAGAAACTTTGGAAGATGTGGAATCTTTCATGTACCCGGGAAGCATCATTAATGAACATGGATAATCGGATGTGGACATAAATGTGAGGATTGGCAAAGCAAGGACAGCATTCCTACAATTGAAGGACATGTAAAACTCAAAACAACTGTCGACCAATATCAAAGTCAGAATCTTTAATATGAACGTCAAGACAGTTCTATTGTATGGAACTGAATATTCTAGAACTACCTCAACCATCATCAAGAAGGTATAAGTATTTATGAACATTTATCTACGCAAGATACTTAATATCCGTTGTCCTGATACTATCAGCAACAGCCTACAGTGAGAGAAAATAAACTGACTTCCAGATGGAGAGGAAATAAGGAAAATATGTTGGAAGTGGATAGGACATACATTGAGGAAATCACTAAAGTGAATCTCGAGGCAAGCACTAACTTAAAATCCTGAATGGAAACGGAAAACAAGAAAGCTGAAAAACACACTGCGTCGAGAAATGGAAGCAGATATGAAAAACGACAACTGGAAAGGATTGCCCAGGACAGAGTTAGATAGAGAATGCTAGTGAGCGGCCTATATTCCTCCAAGAGGAGTAACGGGCTTAATTAAGTAATTAAGAGTTAAACTGGAATTTTGAATTAGGGTCAGGGTTAATGATAAATATATTTTGTTATATCCCAATGAGTAGAAAAATTGTATTTCTGACGTTTCGTGACTTAATGTAAGCCACTTCTTCAGAGTAAATAAATAACCTACATTAAATTAACACGCCAGTCAATAGTTGAATACGTTAGATAAAAATGATTTTAGAAGAAGTGTATGTGGCTCAGATACTGACGTATTAGAATCAGAAGAGTAAAATTTGGTTAGTACGAAAATCAACCAGTAAGATATTACAAATATTTATTCACGTATTAACTTACAAATTAATTAATATTGAATATTATCGTATAAATTATACAAATCTAACTATTGATCTAATTGTAATTCAGTCACTTATTTCCGAAGTCAAATAAGTCCATATCATCAGGTTTTGTGTTCTCACTACACCTTGTCAGGTTTGAGTCCTTCAATAACAAGCACAAATTAGTTAAACATTCCTCAGATAGATGACATTGACAGACATAACAGATGCGTTCACTCTTTATTTTGCTCTAAATCTTGGTTTCTCCGTTTATATCTTTTCACTCCTCTTTTAGTTAACATAGAATAAATGAAATATGGCTAGTATTGGAATCCAAGGATAATGTTCTGTTCTATCTATGACTTGTCAATTGGATGTATCTGCACCCCAGAGTTGATGTGAACTCCAAGACTCAAATTCAATACCATTCAAGTTAAAGGTTGATAATGGAATTCAAGACATTTGTTTCATACAATTTATAATTCATCAGCTGGATATCCTAAATAGTTGAATTCATGAGTCAACTGAAGCTAGACAACCATTGAAAACCTAGAAGCACTGGACGTCCGTTTCGTCCTACTATGGGACTCTTCAGCAGCACACATTCACGATCCCGCCTCCCCCAGCGAGATTCGAATCCAGGACGTACCAGTCTTGAGCGCGAGCGCTTAACCATTAGACCACTGAGCCAGCTGGCATCCAACGGTGTTAATATCTAACTTTAACTTCTTCTGATAATTATTTAAAAGAGTTACTCACCAAATAACCTCTCCAATATGATTGTAATTTAATTGCTGCTTCTTCATCTGTCCATTGTAAACTAAGTGGTAATGGTTTACGTGGATGTTTTTTCAATTCTTCAATAACCCATGGTATATTTAATATGTGTTGTATATTTTTACGATCATAATCTTCTTTCATATATAGATTATTTTTATATAAATAGAATGTTAAAAAATCCAATCCATTGAATCCGAAACGTTTTTTCTTAAAATTTTCAAAATAAAGTAATACAATTATGTGTTTAAATGAAATATTGAGGGGGAAAAACAAAGCAAATTAAAATACTTTTCAGACAGAATACATAAGCAATCGTAGAAGGTGGCACCAAATAGATATGCGCTACATAAATCATTCAATTTGTGTGAGGGCTGAAACATTACACGGGTGCCCAAACTGAAGCAGGTGGTTTTATTAGGAGGCCACACCCGGAGCCTTCGATCTAAAGGTCTAATCCACAAGGCAGTGTAACAACGTAAGGAGAGGCAGTTCCATGATAGCCAGTCACTAATAATTGATTCATACGCCATTTGTTCCTTCAGGATACTGGAACTTATGTGTACCACTGGTTCGGAATAAGGCTTTTCCAATTACCTAAGTGGATCCTCTATATCCACCAACCCAGTTGGGGCGCCGAACATTCACTTTTCATCCTCTCGATTTCGTAAACAACAGTAATACCACGAGAAGGTAGTGAGTAGGACTTCTCTGATAGTGGTTTTATGCACGTGGCCATGTGAGAGTATTTCGAACGGGAGAGCTGACTCTCCAGACTTTCAGCCGTACCAGGGCATTCGATGGGCATTAAACAAAAAAAAACAACTTCCGTTGATAAAGAAAATTAATTATTTCCATAAATCAGTCAATTTTTATAGGGTTCAATGTTTCATCTAAACTTATGAAGATATTTTCAGTAAGTAAGTGAAATTCATACAACTACACATAAATATTAAATTCACTTGGTATTGTTTGGCTTGTATCTTCCCATTGAAGTATGAGACTGCAATTGATCAGTCTGTTATTGGCATATGTGCATACTGTGCTTATGTTGTCCCAGAATGAACATCCACTCTGAGATGTAGGTACATCCAAATAGGACGAAACGCGCGTCCTGGATTCCATTGCTAACCACTATCCATCATTGCTTACAAAAATACACATAAATATTAGTTTTTTTTTCCTTTTGGATAATTCGTCATTTTGTGATATTCTATGATCAATTCTCCATTATCAAAAAGTAACAACCATCTTATAACCATTCACTATTAAACAAGTGACTCATATGAAAATGATAAATTTCTAAAGTTTATTTCACAATGATTGACCATTATCGCTAGTTTATTGACCACAATAGTATAATGATAAAAAAAAATTACACCATCAGCATTAACTGTTCTACGTTCAATTCCATATAGATAGTGATTGTATTTGTGAAGGGATAAGAAATTCTTAAATTAGAACTTCTTATTAGTTTTTAACAGTTGCCTTGTTAAAGTGAATCTCTTTGATATCATTAGTTATCTTTATTTAACTTGAACACATTCCACAAACTTTTCATTTTAACTTATCATTTCATTTTGAAACTTATGAAATATTCAAATTGCTTGGAACATTTAATTTAGGCAATTCTTCAAATAGATACATAATTACACTTATTATATTAATTTTAGATTTCTTGTTCTATACAACACACTAAACGATATCTGTATTGCGTAGAAACAATTATCCACTTCAAATAATGGGTGAATGGTTATACAAAATCTTGGATGGATTAAAGTTAATACCATTGGATACCAAACCAGTGGTCTGGTGCGCAAAACTGAAGGCCTTGGTTTCGAGTCCCACATACAAGATCGTTGATATGCACTGTTGAGGAGTCTCATACGAAGACGAAACAATTGTCTAGTCACTTGTAGATTTTCAATGGTGGTCTACCTCAGATTGATTCATGAATTCAACTATTAAAGTATTTGAAAATGTTAATCATTTCATAAATATATATAGTCTTTCCTGCTCAATAAATAAAACGGATAATCAATAATTTGAAGGTCATTTTTCGTCTAAACCAATCATAATACACAATCCATGTTAACATAATTTATTATCTAATTTGATACAACTGACTTTCTATTTATAGATAAGATGATAAATGTTCAATGTAAATTTCTATTCATTTTGTTTAGTTGTTTTTTGTTTGTTTTGCGACAGATTTACTTCATGTGATCAAAGTCTATCTTTTCTATTTTATTTAATGTTACCAGATCTGCAAATGATAGAATCATATTACAATAGTTGAAATCATGAGTTAATTGAAGCTAGACAACCATGAAAAACCTGGAAGCACTGGATGGCCGTTTCGCCCTAGTATGAGAATCCTCATTAGTGAGCACATACGATCCCACCTCACGAAATTCGAACCCAGGACGTATCAGTCTTGCGCGCGAGCGCTTAACCATTAGATAACTAAGCCGGTCGGCATCCAACAGTGTTAATGTCTAACTTCAACTAATCTACGAAATTGCGCCAACGTACACCATTGTCTTCAGTGAGCTGATATCTTACAACAGACCCGGTTGAACTCCACTAGTAACAGCTTCTCACTAGAACTCCAGGAGTATTTGTTGAAGTCAGTCACTAGTGAGCACATGATTATTATCAGAAGTTTTGTGGAATTTCACTAGTGAAATTTCTAAAAATTTCTACACAAAACCCCTTCCGATGAGAATCATATTAATTATAGTTCACTTGTATTTACACACAAAAAAGAGTAGAAGATACTCGTAAGCTACTAGTATTTGATCATAGATGCCTTAGAAATATTACTCGAATCTGCTGGGAACATCGGCTAAGTAATAGTGAGGTTACACGATGGGTATTAAGGAATGATGGTAAATCAGTTGATGAGGTTGTGAACCTTCATCGACTGAGATGGTTGGGCCACGTGTTACGTATGCCTGAACAACGATTACCACGACGTGCAATGCTAACCGGTGTTAGAGATGGTTGGAAGAAAGTTAGGGGCGGTCAAACCAAAACGTGGCATCAGTGCTTGAAATCACTAACTTCTAGTCTGAGCCATGTTGGTAGATGCAGACTACTTGATTGGGGTCCGCGTGACTATGGTAACCAATGGTTGGAGACTCTTGGTGACATGGCTGGGAATCGATCACAATAGCGTCGGTGTATACACTCTCTGTCTTCCCTTAAACTAAGAGATTAAAATCGCTTCATATGTTTCTTTCTACGAACTAATTCTTCCTGTACTATATCTTTATTGCAATCTTTCTCTTATATATTACCACCTCTGAATTAACTACTTTTATAAATCCGGTGTTCATCTTGTTGTGTTAATGAGGTGTGGCAACTTGGACCGATGCATATATGTGCCTGGTCCTACGTTGTAACTGACTGACTGACTGAAATGTCCTCCTACCTACTACGTTTAGATGAGGGTCATATATTACTGTTGAGAATTAGGATCGGAATTTACAGTTGAACGTTAGGGTTAGGATTTAGATTCAATGTTTTCATAATGAACTGACATGAACTATAATGCCAAAATGGTATTTAACCAAATGAATGAATGAATTAAGCGAAAAAATCCAAGATCTGTTATCTTAAGTCTGATTAGTTCTTCCATAGATTATAGTCTCACTCTTATAACTCACATAAGAATTTATTCTGAAGTTTCCACTGATTGTTTCACTATTAACAGATGAAATCCAGACATAGTTAATATTATCACCGATAGGGAGTGAAGTAGTCAAACTCGTTGAAATCTGATCAGCCCTAATGGGTTGGTGTCTGACGAAATCTCAGCACGGATTCGAAAAGCTCGTCCATAAATTATAGTCCCACGGTTATAAAAAAAAACCTTTTTCCTTAATGTAAATACAAGGAAAGTAATAAATCAACAACCTTTCATCATAGTGTTTCCCCTTGAGAAATTTGTTAAATATAATTTAATCGAAAACCGATATAACTACAGATTTTAAATTATCAATAACAGAGTGATAGAAGTTTTTTCACCAAAGTAAAATCGATTTGTGCTTATTTCTAATTGATCACAGTGATTAGTGTAATTATTGTTATTTGTATCTGTGCTTAATCAATAATTGAAACTTATATTATTCATTGTTTCTATATATATCAACTATTTCATAATATGAGATAGGTTGTATACATTTATTATATATTATCATTTATAATAAAACATTATAAATCAGTAAGCCAAATCAATTGTTCATTCTATGTGTTGTATCCTAGTGAACATTAAATTACAAGTAACTTCTGAGATCTATTAATGAATCAATATTCTATGTATATTCCTATTGTATAACTATTCAGTAAGTAGACTATGTATATTTATATTCCTCTTATTATAAGCTTTCATTTCATCTATAGACTATTATGATACAATTTACTATTCTTAAGTTATGCCCGGTTTATTGATTACAGTCTCCTACGTTCACAGCCAATTTTTGACTTGATCTTATACAAATATTATTTCCTATTTTATGATGCGATGTGGTCTGTTTGGTCAGTATATAAACCAAATATGTCTGAAATAAATGATTCGCATAGTGGGAGATGTTATTGTTGTTGTGGACTCAACTGGGCAGGCTAGGCGTGCAAAAGACCAATAAGGACGATAGGTAGATCATACCGGTCAAACGTTATTGGTTTATTGTCGGGGACACGTTAGATTCCCAGAGATCACTTAGAAAAGGACCTAATTTAGTATTTTATTCTGAAAATTTGAATTTCTTATTTTCGCGCCAAAAGCGCTCATTTTCACCTTCATGTCGTATTTCCCACTCAGAAGGATCTTAAACGCTATTGGTCCGTAGTGTCTTCTAATATGCTATTTTGTAACTCTTCCCAAGGACGGTTTTGTGCTGTGCTTATACGTTTTGATTTATGTCTGTTTTTATCGCTCGTACTTCTGACTTTTTGCGGAATATACTTCCCCGTTCGAACTTTGACTTCTTTATGTAGTTAGCGGGTCTGGGATCCAATAGAATATCTAGTTTGTTGGTCTTTGGTCACAAGTCTTTGTTCCGTTCGCAGACTAAGTGAACTCGTAACTGCTTCAAACCTAGCATAGTACAGTATAAGAGTGAATAAGTCGTATTTCGATTGACGAATAAATTACGTGACTTAAAGTCACAACACTATGTTATCCATTGTGATACATAACTTTAAAAAAAGGTATCTTCTTACTAAATTCATACAATAAAAACTATCATTCATGTTGAAAGTTCTATCATAGAGATACTTTCAAAAGAGATGAATGATTTTATCACATATCTGAGCATTAAAATGTAGTCTATAAAATACTAAAGAGAATAAAATGGGTGGAATGAGTTATTTCCTTATGAAAAGAAGAATAAAAGCTAATGGATTTTTTTCAAAATATCTTTTAATTCTCTTAAGCTTTCTATGAAAACTGATTGAGAAATTAAGCTATTGACTTAAGGGAATAATTGAAGCAATTCACACAGGATGTACAAATGTCAACAAGAGACATTAATGAGAAGATTCAAACAAACAATACAACATGAATAAACACTTCATCCCATTGCATAAGATAATGACTAACTAGGCTCAGTAACTGGGTAGATAGCACGATGACTTTTGGAACGAACGTTACTAGGTTCGAGTCCTAGAGTGAACATCAACTCAAGGGATACAATCACGTCTAGCTGATGAGTCCCAAATAGAACGAAATATGTGTCCTGAATTCCATTGCTAGCCACCATTTATTTCTGTTTATATTCAATAAATTTTCATTCATATAAATAGAAATTACTATACATCACTTTTGTTTTTGACGGAGTTTTGTTCTCACAGCTGGATGGTTTGGTCGTGGAGCTTTCATCGTTCTTTTGACGACATCATCAGCACAAACTTCAGACAGAAATGAAGTGTTTAAATTTCTCCATATGCGTTTCACAGCTGGATCTGTACACATCGACTTTGATTGGTTCTTGTTGACCTTAAATTTGTCGTTATTTACTTCTTTATTTTGGTTGTGTCTCCCAACGTCGATGTGTACAGAACAAGCTGTGAAACGCATATGGAGAAATTCGAACACTTCACTTCTATCTGAAGTTAGTGCTGCGGATGATGTCGTTCAGAAAAACGATGAAAGCTCCACGATCAAACCATCCAGCTCTGAGAACAAAACTTCATCAAAATCATCTACCTAAGCTACAAATCATCACCATCTCAACATCATTTTTGTGTTCACAGTCACATATTCTTCAAAAGTATGAAAAATGTTAAAATATTAAAAAGTACACTTAAATACAAGATAAATAAAGCAAATAATTCAAATATAGTGACCTAAAAAAGGTTGAGTAGATTAGTGACCTTGATGGTCCAATCAAATACCAGTAAAATAAATATTTTAAAAAAAATTATTGGACCAATCAGAAAACAATTCAAATAATGATTTAACTGAACTCTTAACTGTTCATTATTAAAATTTAAAGTATCAATAATTAAGAATAAGATGAGAATAATATAGTGACTTAGCTTCGTTGTTAATCCAGCAGTTTGATATTAACACCATTGGGTGCCGGTTCAGTGGTCTAGTAGGTTAAGCGTTCGCACGCGAGACTGAAGGCCCTGGGTTCGAATCCCACGAGCGTTATAGTGAAAGCGCACTGCTAAGGAGCCCCACAATAGGACGAAACGGCCGTCTAGTGCTTTTAGGTTTTCAATGGTGGTCTAACATCATTTGGTTCATGATCTCAATCAAAAATTTGATAACCGTTATTGTATATAAATTCTAACAGTGTATGAATTCAAGGGGCAATAAGAAGCGGTGACTATAATTTATTAGTGGATAGTAAAGATAACAAAGTTACAAGCACAACGAGTAAATTTGGAGAAAAGTGGTTAATTTGTGTAAGTGAGCGAATACACAGGTGAATTTATAGTCAAATTGAACCAGGGGGAATGAGATGAGGCAAAGGCAATTAACAGGATTCGAGCGCATACATAAGAAAGAGAATGATTCATTGAGTAATATTTAAGCGATCTAGAGAGAGAGAGAGTTATGTGCGTAGGTTGTTACATGTGATCACAAATAATATGAAGAAATAGACGAATCGTTACTGTTCGAAGAACTTGTCTGTTAAATACATTAATGAAAGGGCTTAACCTAATATTAACCATAAACGAAATTAGTCGTAGGAGTGTTGTTGTAAAAGTATGTAAAACTTTAATCATTTCAAGTCAATGTTAAGTTAAACAAAAAAAAGAACAAACTTATTGTGAATAGATTATCAAATTAGAAGGAACTGATTTATAAGTTAGGATTACTTGTTTATGGAATATTTACAGGTCACACATGTTTCCGCATTTTATACACTGTATTGCATGATTTATTACATTACAACATTCCGTCTGTTCAAAGCAAGAAAATATATTGACTACTTCAGAAACTCCTCTTGAACGCTACATCAGTCAATATCATGTAATAGGTTTTAAGCTTCTGGAAAGTTTAAGTAGGTAAATCCTACCCATGATATGCATAATTATTGGATTAATTTATTTCAGTCAACGTATTATGACTAGACTGTAATTTCTTGTTTATGCTATCGTCTAAGAATATCTTCCTAGCTCTATTCCCAAGACCTTTATCTAACTTTCTTATTGGATTTCTTATTTAGTTAAAATCAAAAATCTTATTTAAACATTAGAATAGTTTGGAAATAAGTAACCCGTGAAATTTGAGTGACTAGCGTTACAATTCATTTCAGATGGGAAAGAAATAGACATTTCGATAATCACGAATTATGTGTCTAATAACTCAGAAAAGATGATGTGACTATGAAATCCAATGATGTTAGAAGTAAGTCACTCATTACTGATGATATTGGATAATCATAGAATTATATCACAATGTGACTGAAGTTTAAACTGCAAACTATTAGATGTCAAATAAGCGACCTAAAGGTAACGTACTCTCCAAGAAGCTCAAAAGTCATGTGCTCTATCTTTTACGATGTTTTGAATGCGCTCAAAAGTCAATGGATATTACTTTCCCAGTTCAATAACGGTTGGATATGAATCATGATCTCAAGTATCTTGTTGGAAGAGATAAATTCTTACTTGTGATAAATATCTACCAAAAAAATATTTGAATCTGTTTGAAAAATATATAATTGTTATCACTATTTACAACACGATAGAAACTGATACGTTTATTAGATAAGCTACTTATCAACTAATTTCAGTAGACTAGAATGTGTAGAAAAAAATTGCATGTCAATTTTAGAGAACTATGTACAAATTATGTGTAAAACGACAATACCTCAAAACAGTGACTTCGTTTAGCTTGTTCAAGCATTGCTTCCATAGCAGGCAAAAGTATAGGAAATATGAAACGTTTTAAATATTCTTTTGGAGTACCTATTAGAAAGGGAAAAATAAATAAAAACAGGTTTTCCATGGTGATCTGGTTTCAATTGACTCATAATCTCAACAATTGAAATTACTAAAATCTTCAAAAAACCCCCTTCTGATACTAATCAACACGTGCTTACTAATGACTGGCTTCAAGATGTATATCCTGGAGTTCTAGTGAGAAGCAGTAACCAGTGGTGTTTAACCGGGTCAGTTTTGAGATAGTAACTCACTGATGACGATGGTGGATGTGTCGCTCAATTTTGTGGATTGGTTAAAGTTAGACATTAACGCCGTTGGATGCCGGCCGGCTTAGTGGTTTAGTGGTTAAGTGCTAGTGCGTGAGACCAGTAGGTCCTGGGTTCGAATCCCTCGAGGCGGAGTCATGGATACGCACGGCTGAGGAGTCCCGTAACAGGACGAAACGGCCGTCCAGTGCTTTCAGGTTTTTCATGGTTGTCTAGCTTCAATTGACTCATGGTCTCAACCATTGAAGTTACTACAATATCCACAAACCCCCTTCTGACATTTGTGTTTATTGATAAAACGACATCCCGTACATTACTAACGGCTTCTTTCATAAATAATGTAATAGATTCATGTGTTTTATAAAGTTATTTCCTAGCTACACGAATTGTTTTATTCTCAGCTACCAGAGTATATTTCGAATATCCGGAGATTCTTCCATCCTTAATTTGCAAGCAATAGAAAGACTCTACTGAGTTTACTCTCATAAGTTAAATTATATCATTAATCCATGACAAGACTAAAATGTTAAAAATTCGATATGCAGTCTAATGTGTTGTTATATTACTAGCAATATTAATTCTTTTAATAGCAATTTTGATTATTGTTGGTAGTAATAATTGTGATATACATTGCATACTTCATCATCATCACCATAATTGATTATTATGACCTGACAGATTGGTTGCCTTTGAGAAAAAGCATGTCATATTACAAACAGTTTCATTAACATGTTGTGGAAGTCATAGTTACCCGTAGCGTTTATAATGTGAATGTATAACACTAGGAAGTTAGTCATTAATGAAATTGGGATCATTACAAATGTGCACTAGTTCAAGCTTCAATATACTTTATTATTAACGCAGAGGGACTAAATTAATAAGAAGTCTAGTGGAAAGAAAACGAGGCAACATTAGTGTATACGATTTAAAAAAATACTTAATTTATAGAATATGGTTCATAAAAGGAAGGAAGTGTAATTAAATGGTAATACTTAAAAAAGGATAATGAATAGATGGATCTAAGCTACTGTGATTGATTTTATGTCTTGCTGATCAATAGTCGCAATGCTGACTGGAAATTCTTCAACTTTTGACAAGGTTTAAACCAAGAGTCAACAACTTCTTGGTCTAATGATATATTATGGTTTGGTTACTACTCACCTATGAAATAAAATAGTTTGCAATGATAGCAAATTTCTCAGTAATCATTATCACCATCATTCTCACTATCATCGCGTTATGATCTCTAATCGATAAAACCAAAAAAATGTTTTCATTATGGATACAAAATGTTCTGAAGTTCATAAAATTATTGATATGTTTAGCTTGTGTAGTTTTTATTTTCAGACTGTGATTGTATGAACCAAGTTCGGGTGATTTTTACGTTTGTCTTAATAACTGAATCAGAAATATGCGTGACTGATTGGGTAAAGTTATGACAGATAAATCATTACTGATTTATTTATTTCTGTCCTAATTACTCTTGGATAAGATAAGAGAATGATATCGGTATAAATTAATCTAACAAAACTAGTCATCATAGTGTAACGAAAACGTTTCGATGTATATGCTGTAGATTATGTTAAAATCCTGAATCCCCCCCCCAATAATCACACAACATTTTCAAAATATGCGTTTTATAAACAAATATGACTGACTTTTTAAGCAAAGATAGATGATGGCTAGTAGTGAAAACCAGGACGCGCGATTTGTCCTATTCGGATGTACCTGAATCCCAGAGTTGATGTTCGCCCCGTGACTCGAACCCAATACCTATCGCTTCAATCACCATCATATTATACACTTAGCTACTGAGTCCTGATAGCCACCTGCTTGTACAATGGGATGAGGTTCAAATTCACTTGGTATTGTCTTACTTGCATCTTCCTATTGTTATTTTGGGCTGCAACTGATCAGCCTCTTGTTGGCATATGTACAACTCTGGGATGCAGGGGTATTGAACAAGAACACAACTGGAGACAATGGAATGTATTTGACACAAACTTACAGAACTTGTTAACAAAATCTAACAACCATACAGTAAATGCTCAACTTGCAAAATGACCATCACTTGTCTCAAAATGACTCAGACTTCAATGTTCTTACATTTTTATACAAATTGCGTTCAGTTTCCATTATTTACTGTTCAATACTCTTGTCTCTCTGCTGCCAGACATTCTGTTCCTGACCAACGTCATATACTACTTATGTCAATAAAAGTAGCACACACCACCCAGGTACATCCAACTGACGAGCCGCAAATAGGACGAAACTTGCGTTATGGATCCCAATGCTAACCACTATCCATCTTTGTTAAAAAGCTTGTGACCTAGGGCTATAATGAAGCAATCAGCACAGGATGCACATACGTTAACATGAGACTGATCAATTGTAGTCCCAAATAACAATGGGAAGATACAAGTAAAACAACACTAAGTGAAATATGACTGATCAACTTACATTTCTTTGCATAATCTGAATTCGGCTTCAATAATGCACTATCTATAGATGTATGTTGATCATCTTCACATGAATTTTCTGGTGATAATTTGAAGGACTTTATTTAATTCTGTTCTCATTTACAATATTGAATATTACTTGAAGAGTTTGAAATGAATCAGAGCTTAAAGTTGTATTTTTGTAGACTTCTTCAGGGATTAAACCATATTTCTCTAATTGAGAATCTAAAACCGGATTTGAGATAATTTTTTTGAAACCAATTATTTAATGTTAATACTCATTTAAAATAAAGATCAGTTTGAACCTTAATAATCTATAAAGCAAGGCTGTAACTGGTATAGACGTCATAAAACACTAAATTCTTACTTAAGGAAATATCAAGCTAATCTACTGAAGCGGATATGTGTTGCCATGCAAAGACAAGCTAATACAAAGACTTAAAACCCCTCATACAAGTAAAGAAACTAAATTTATTGTAACGTCTCACAATGTGGAAATAAAAAATCGATAAAAGAAAAAGTTTCAAACTTAACACAAGTGGTTCTACTAAACGAATAAAAAAGAAACTAGCTATTATAATAAATATCTTTACTGTAAAGACCTAATGTCATTCTTGCCCTGCAACTATTCTTGATTAGTATTATTTCAAGAAATCTGATCGATGGTACTTTACTTCTTTAGACTGACCAAAATTGTTGTCACTGACTACTTTGAATGATATCTTGTTACGATAAGTTGTTAATGGGGTCATAACAATCGTCTTTCTACCAGATTTATTACAGTATATATCTAGAAAAAAGAGAGAAATATTTGGATACTAGCTAAGAAATAGAGCTTGATCATTTTCGACCAAGTATTCTGTCCAAAACATCGACTTTGGACAAAAGAAACAATAAATATGCCAATAATACTGATATAGCAAACAACAAATGAAATAGGGAAACAGGAACTCTGAGGAACTGATAGGAATTTCTCTTTGGCGGTCTGTTTAGAATTTTTTAAGCGTAGAAGCAACGCAGCATTGTAAATTGGTCAAAAACCAACTATATGTAATGATCTCTAGTTCCGGGAGGTCTAAATTAGCCTACATTACTTATTATTTATTTGCGTAAAGCGGATAACTGAATCATTATCTTGATCAAAAAGTAGAATCCCTTCACTTTAGAGAAGATTGCGGAAAAAAACATTAAGCTATGAATATCTGCTTCAGAAGCTGTTATCCAGGATAATGCACTTACGACATTGAGTAATCCAGATACAACGAAATCAACAGAACTAGAATAGTTAATATTATTGTAGACCATATAAACTGGAATGTTCACGGCTTATTCCTGACAGTGATATCCAGATTACTGCTGTACCGATGTCCGTTACTTCTACACTGAAAGGATGGTATATAGTCATCTTTACCCACAAAACGGTACTTAAATAGCACTCATTTCCAATCAGCCTTACAAAGACAGTTTCCATAACTTCGCAAAATTATTTGAAACGTTATTATACTTCTTAAAACTTTTAGCTCTTTAAAGCAAAGATTATCCAGCCTAAAGTGTACACTTCTATATACGACAAACCAGTAAATAGCATGACAGAGCTGAATGAAGTCTACAGATGACAAAAGTTCTGAGTGAGTCAGCATAATGACAAGCTGTATAACGAGGCATGTGAGTTTAGAATCCTCAAACTTTGACGATATTGATCAAAGTACTTTCCATTCCCTACCTGGAGAGTAATATACTTCGAGGTATCGAGTATTACAACACGAGAATCGTGGCTGTTTATTCCTTAAATAAAAATTCTTTAGTATGATAGAACGGATTCGCCACGTCATGAGAATGGAGTAGTTTTTATGAAACACAAGGAAATATTTGCCAGTATTTTCCATCAACAAAACAAAGAACGAAACTTAGTTAGGTGTGTTTTGCTGAAAGTATTTCGTGAGCCAAGTGACATCACTCAACTTGAAGCGACTATCGTGATATGAAAACTTAACAGACTACTATCATTAAGTTCAATACAACTAACCTGATAATATGTTATTCCATAATGTGGCCTTCGACATCTTTTTGTAATTGTCATAAAACTGTTGCCTTAATAATGTAAGAACATGACCCATTTAAACAAATCATTATATCTTGCATTTTGTTCGCTCTCTTAGTTCTTGGCGAGTCTATGACACTCTGGAGTGTGCAGTAAGAAGCCTCAATGACCGTCCACGTCGAGTTGGGGATGAACATCCCAAACCACCTGTTGTAGATAGTCGTGTAGAGCTGGAACATTCAACCGTTTAAAATTCTAACGCGAGATATTGATGGGGTATCTTAGCTTAGTTTTGCTGACAAAACTGAAGGCTACGATGGCATGATCACTTTTTCCCAGGGAAGCCAAGATTGAGAGTTGTCAATCAGAAATTCTTCGTTTGTGAATACACAGTATAAGCGCGATGGCGTATGACTGTTTCTCCAACGAGTTGCCGTCCTCACATTTTCGTACAATCCCAAGTCATCGATAAGGTTGAAGAACCGAGCTTCAATTGAGTTGTCGCTTCCAGTATACGTGTGTTCCGCGAAGTTCATTCTGGGGAGATTAATGTCCAGAAGGCCTACGCCCTATGTTACTACTTTTCTAGTATGCTTCTGTGAGTGTCCAGTCAATTGAAGGTGAGGACACCGCGGCTTCGGGTAACAGGTTCCAAGTATTGGTGACTCGATGTGAAAACCTGTATGCCATGGATATTTTGTCCGTAATTGTTAGGTTCAAAATCATATATCAGTATTCTGTACGTTAAAATTAGGTCTCCCCTTAGTCTGCGATTGGACAGAGTAAAGAGGTCCAGCTTCTCAGGAAGCTCTCTGTATGGTAAATCCCGGAGTTCTGGAATTGCAAGGGTAGCTGCCCTTTGTACGTTTTCTAGGATATCCGAGTCATCTTTTAAACGGGGGCTTGCAGCCTGAACGCAGTTTTCAGGCTTAGTTCTCACCAAGGTGGTGTATATTGTGGTAGACACGGTAGTATCTAACTTAGTGAATGTCCGTTTGAAATATCAGAGAGTTTTAAACCGCCTGGCTGCGACCTTTCGGCGATGGGCCGAAATCTTAAGATCATGACTCACTGTCGCCCCAAGATCCTTATGAGACGGAACCACAGGTACTGGTACTTCACCAATACTGTACCTCATAACCTTTGTATCCACAAAGTGAATGTAGACACACTTTGCTGCGTTGACAGGCATCAGCCACTCTTTAGATTAGTTAATCAGATTATTTAAGTCTGTCTGAAGAGCACATGCGTCTGCGTCTCCAATTATTACTCGCCAGATTTTTACATCGTCAGAGCATAATAAAATTCTGGATTGTACTATACTTGGGAGATCATTTACATACAGTATAAAAACTAAAGGACTTAGGACGGAACCTTGTAGTACTCCAATAAATACTGGTCTCCAGGTGGAGAACTTGGAATTTATTCCTACATTCTGTCTACGACCTACTAGGGAATCCTTGTGCCATTTTGAAAGAGGTTCGGCAATACCAAGATTTTCTAACTTCAATAGCAGTCTATTTGTTTGCAACTTGTCAAAAGCCTTACTGAAGTCTATGTAGACAACATTCACTGAGTTTCCGTTGTCTAGAGCCTTTATCCCAAATTTCCCTGCTATAAGGAGGTTCTTTGTACAAGATAGACCCTTTCTAAAACCATGTTGTTCTATGTTTGGCGAGTTATCGGTTTCCATAAATGTCGTTATGGTCAGTTTGACTATTTTTTCCAATATTTTAACTACAACACTGGTGAGGTTTACAGGTCTGTAGTTCGATGGAAGTTGTCTTCGCCCTGTTTTATGTATATGAGTGACGATTGTGCCCTTCCAGTCTATGGGTAACACAGCTTGATCAGGTGATATATTGAATATCACAGTCAGTGGGGACAAGATATATTGTGCACTTTCTCAATTTTTTCTCGGGGGTCGTCTGGTCCTGTTGACTTTTCCATGTCTAAGGTGCTAAGAGCCTTAAGAACATCGTTTTGGTCGAAGATCACAATGAGCAGGTGGTTTGTTGACCCTGTTTTTTGGTCTGATTCTTTGTCTAGAGGAGGTTCCTGAGCAAAAACTGCCCCAACATAGTTAGCTATAGCCTCTGCTTTTTCCTGATCCTCCTCTATCACTTCAGATTCACTCTCTTCTTTAACCAGGTTGGGAATCCAATGATGCATCCTTGTTCTGTTGTTTATGTACAAGGATACTCTCTTGGGCTGCTTGAGTGCAGGTTGAGCCAACTCCATTTCAGATTTTCTTTGAGCTTCCGGAATTTTAATTAGACACGTGTTTCTTACCGATGTTAAGCGTTCCTTCGAACCCGATGTGCCAAGCCTGATAGCAGCATTCCAACATTTCTTATTTTGTCTCAATAAACATCGGATATCCTGGCCTATCCAGAGATTTCCGTGCTTCTTCATCTTCGGGACTGTCAGGAGTATGTATGGTAGAGTTATCCGATTGCTTTTAAAAGCTTCATAAGAAAAAACAGGATGATCACTCCTAGTAACGATGAAAATGAATTCAGAACAGAAACGTAAGTAATAGACCTGTTATTTCAGTGAATCAAGATTGAACCTTAGCTAAATTATTTGTCATAATAGATGGATCCCTACGAAAGATGACAGTTCATCGGACTTTAGAGCGTTTGCCGTGAATTGTGAGGATCAAGATAGGCTGGTGTCGACTAACCGTCTGATTTCATAAGGCTTTCATGTAAAGCGGCTTGAATTTATACTCTGTCGGTATTATTCTTTTCTATCCTTATTAAAATATAATTCTACTTCACCATAAGATCTTGCCTGAACTGAACTAAATGTCATCTGCTTACCATGGGACAGTCTGATAAGCTGTTAGACACTATGATTTCGAAATCGTGCTGTTAGATTGAAGCAGCATCAAAGTATTTAACCAGAACGAGACAAACAGTTAATCGATATAAGTAAGGTGATTATACTGAATATGGTTTAAGTCAACGGACTCAGTTACTGCATAGCTTAGATGATAACCTAATAAGACATACCATACGATGATTGCACTCAAAAGAGCTAAAAAAGGTGACAAATTCTTGTAAGTATCTTAAAATATATGAAACTGTTTGGGAATTTTTCGGTAGACATTACTTACATAGTTTGCACATAACATCATAACCATAACCACTTATAGATATTGCATTGTAGGAAGTGTGTATATCTACGGGCCTGACAATTAATTCTACTCCCTGTTCTACTCTTTTGAATTTTTACGTGTAGTTAGTTACACCTTCCAAACATCTGCAATGAGTGAAATCTTAGTATTCCGTCTGAATACAGAACTACGGAAAAAATTCTATTGAGTTAGGGCAACCTACGTTCTTCTGCATGGCATGCGAAGCGTTTTTGAGCCAGCCGTGTTAAACTAAATCAAAACACGGACTCTATGTTCAGTTTCAACTGTTCTAGTTAAAGAAATAAAACACATTATGTCAAATGCACAAAATATCTCAAACGGTACAGCCTGTGTTATGCAGTCAAATAATCCCTTAGCGCAAAACTGCGTGCCAAACAGCAAAATGAATAGTTACAAAAAATATTCGATACCTAAGGGTTAATAAAAGTAATCTCAACAATATGGGATGACATATCTACCTGTAAGGATTCCAGTAACCTTTTCAAACAGAAAGTTGAAGATTAACAAACATACACTGGACCACACCGAGATCTTGAGTTGAGTCAAACACTACCTTATTGTCAGTTATCTGAGAACATGCAGTTGCCAGATCGGGTAATCAATGGTGATTCCTTAACCGATGTTGAATAATAAAAGCTCAGATGACGATGACCAAAGGACATGAGGTATGGTTAAGGGAACTGAATAAAGGTTAGAATGCGAAATAGTGAAAAAAGCATATGAATGACTATACTGTTCGATGAAATGCTTTGGAGGGATTTTATGCATATTTTTTTCGTTACACCCCCACTTTCGATTAATGATCAACATTTTCTGACGAACACTGAATCAACATTGTAAAGGCGTCTAAATGGTGAGGGGATATTTTTAAAGAAATACGTTAGCTAGGCTAGATGATATTATTGTTATTAATAGTGATAATGTTGAAGATGGGATAGGTATTCAGTGTTCGACAACGCTTTTATCAGTAACACCTAATATAATTTGTACTCACTGAGAGAAATCAAAAGACAGAGTCGAGGAGATCGGAAGAGTGTAATTGGCGATTACCAATATATCGGAATTCTCTGATCTAATCTGGCTAGCGATTGCGGTAGATGTTGAGCACAGCGTTACCACACGTGATCTGATGCGGATGCATGGCCGAGCGCCTTCAGCTAGATGAGTCAACTAAAACATATGATCAGCATCCAATGTCGAAAACTTACAGAGCTATTTATATTGGGGATTTATTTACCGCTGCAATGTCAATGCTTGTCTCACATTTATTCTGACGGCAACCTTAAAATATTGACTGCACTCTATTCCGTTCATTGGTCAGCTTTAATGCAATGGTAGTTGATCAAGACTATCACAATGTTAAGGTTAGAAGGATATGACGAACTGGTTTACAAAGATACATTTGGAGTACTTAAGCTAAGCATTGATGTTACGATGTTATAGCATACTATACAGCCGTTACAGTTGTTCCATATACAACTGTCACTGTTAGTGTTCAGATAATTATCAACTGGATAGTTTTAGTATCCCAATTTCCCTCAATCTTTGACCCAGCACAAACAAGCGTAGCAGTTGGTTTTTACAGATATTTTGAGTGGCGAAGGTATGAAATATTAGGTTTAAAATCATGACAACCATTCTATAAGTTCGAGCAAACATATCCTCTCTTGATGAGCGGTTTTAGAATTACTTAAATATGATTTTATCATCACCGTAATTTGGTTATTAGTTTTCGTATTATATATTTTTAAAAATAACCTTCACTATGTCGCCTAATTTGAACAGTGTCACTTGTATATGCATGTTGTGCGCTAGTTATACAGACAAATATTGGTAATATGTATCAACAATTGAATGTCGGACTATTACTAACCAAGGAGAAAAGCGAGTAGAAGAGATAGTAAAACATAAGC